TCTCTCTCTCTCTCTCTCTCTCTCTCTCTCTCTCTCTCTCTCTCCCACTGGCCCACTTGCCCGGCACAGAGCAAAATTCCATTCAGGATAGGACTTCTAATTTATTCCTTTTTGAGTTTTCTCAAAAGAATCAACAAATTAAATACCACACTTCCATAGCTGCTCTTCATCTCTAGTCCCAACTCCCTTCCGCTCCTCTCCAGCCTCCTCCTCTCTCAGCTCCGATCGCTTCTCTACCCTCCGGAACCCACCTCATCTCCTGGGGTTTCGGGACCCTGGTTTAGAGGCCCCACCTGCTCATCACATGTTGATACTGCTGACCCTAAATGTTAGTGTTCGTTTCGTTGAATACAAGCTGGAAGTCCAGCTGGAACCTAACTAGCTGCTTCCAACAGATGTGGGCCTCTCACAACTCAAAAAGTTCAGGCATCAGACAGAACTGAGCCAGCGGGCTGGGCCCTTTCACCTCTGAGAGTCTGTTCCGACTTAGATTTGATTTGGCTCAGGCAAACATTAAAATGTGATGTGGCGCCCACTGAGCACTCCATGACACCTGGGCGTGGTCCAGAATAATGGCAGGGAGATGGAGCAGCTGTCAGATTAACATTCCCCACAGCTAACCCGCTGTGGATTGCCAGCACAGACGGGCTCAGTGTCATCCTATTTCCACAGGCCCATCCGGTTTTGGGGGTTTTTTTGGTTTGGGTTTTGTTTTGTTTTGCACTTAATTTCACATTCCTCAATTCTATCTAGCCTTTTACATATCCCAGTGCAGGGAGATGGCGGGATTAGGATCTCCCCATTTGGATTGGGCACTGTAATGGCTGTGCTCCCAAGGAGGCCTGAGGCCTGACGAGGCCCCCAGGGAGCAGATGCTGACTCTTCCTGTGACATGTGGGGCCCATGCCCAGGGTGCCTCATCCAGCCTGGTGGTAAAGTTTGCTGACACAGAGAAAGAGCGAGGTCTCCGCCGGATGCAGCAGGTGGCTACCCAGCTGGGCATGTTCAGCCCTATTGCCCTCCAGTTTGGAGCCTACAGCGCCTACACCCAGGCCGTAAGCATGCCCTCCTACCCTTGGCACTAGATCCTGCTCATCCCCGTGTCCTTCCAGGCCCACCCTCTAAACACCAAAGCAGGGGTTAGAGGGAGGGCTGGAGGCCGGGCCCTACTTTCCTCTCCCCATCCCACAGCTGATGCAGCAGCAGGCAGCCCTGGTAGCAGCTCACAGTGCCTACCTCAGCCCTATGGCCACCATGGCTGCCGTGCAGATGCAGCACATGGCTGCCATCAATGCCAATGGCCTCATCGCCACCCCGATCACTCCATCCTCAGGTAAGGCCGGTGCTAGGCAGGTGGGGTGGGGAATGACAGCATGGTGGCAGTGACTAGGGGAAACCATGGGGTGCAGGAGGTGCTCAGGGGTCAGAGAATGGCCTGTTTGCTCCACTCTGCCCCCCAGATTTGCCCACTGGTTCTCTGCATCTGTGTGCCTGCCTCTCTGGTCCGTTGCTGTCATGTTCTCCTTCCTAGGAACCAGCACCCCTCCTGCCATTGCTGCCACGCCCGTCTCTGCCATCCCTGCTGCCTTGGGCGTCAACGGCTACAGCCCGGTGCCCACCCAGCCCACAGGGCAGCCTGCCCCCGATGCTCTGTATCCCAACGGGGTTCACCCTTACCCAGGTGGGGCTCTCTGCCTGCCCACCTTGCTCCATCAGCCATCCAGGCCACCACTCCCATTGCTGGCAGCCATGGCTCACCTCCCCTCTCCAACCTCAGGGCTTAAGGTGCTTTTTCTTGCTCTCTTTCTGGGCGGAAATGCTCCTCGGGTTCTTTCCTTTCTTTCTTTCTTACTTTTTTTCCTGTTTGTTTATTTGTTTGTCTGTTTTTAAAGTGTTTTTTGAGACAGGGTCTCTGTGTGGTTGGCCTTGAACTCACAAAGATCTGCCTGTCTCTGCATCCCTGAGTATGGAATTAAAGGCATGCACTATTGATACTGAGCTCAGGCGTTCTTTGGGTTCTTGGCTAGGGCAGCTGAGGCTCAGCAAGGTGAAGCAAACTGAGTGGCATGTCAGTCACAGACTTTACCCAACACTGGGCTCTTCCTCTTCCTACTGCCATATGCATTTCCCTTCTCATCTCATCCCACCCCAGATGAGGCTGTGTCTGCTGAGAGAAGTGCTGGTGGGGTTCCCATTATGTCTCAGAGCCACTCATGGCTTGCGATGCTCTCTGCAGCCCAGAGCCCAGCAGCCCCTGTGGATCCTCTCCAGCAGGCCTATGCAGGAATGCAGCACTACACAGGTGAGGCGCTCTAGCACAGGCCCTGCCCAGGTGGGTGGACTGGCATGGGGAAACCGATCTAGGAACTACAGTCTGAGCTTCTACGCTCTCTGCCAACCACACCCTCAGGCCTTCCTGAGAAGCTGTGCTTGTGAGAGTGGCACACACCCAGGACATGGTCTGAGGAAGCTTCTTCCCTGACATCCTCTCAGCTTGTGGATTCCCCTGGTTTGGGCTGAGGAGGGAGACAAGGCTGGTTGTGAGGAGTCAAGGGAACCCCATTAGCTTTCTCTGTCTTCACCACCCCAGCAGCCTACCCTGCAGCCTACAGCCTGGTTGCACCTGCGTTCCCACAGCCTCCAGCCCTGGTCGCCCAGCAGCCACCACCACCAACTCAGCAGCAACAACAGCAGCAGCAACAGCAGCAGCAGCAACGGGAAGGTGCCAGCCTGGGGCAGGGTCCCGATAGCTGAAAACCTACAGAGATAAGAACACCTGTGTTGTGGGCTCGGGTACTCCCGATGGCTCTTTCCCAGGCTCTGGGTCTGTGTGTGACCCAGAAGGAGTGGGGAGCCCTGGCCCACACTGCTTGGGACCAGGATTGGTGGCTGTTCTTGCCCCCACCTCTGCCAATCCAGTCTGCACTTCCCAGTCTCTGAGCTATCCCTTCTGTCTCTGCTGCCACCCAGGCCCTGACGGCTGCAACATCTTCATCTACCACCTGCCCCAGGAGTTCACAGACTCAGAGATCCTCCAGATGTTTGTCCCTTTTGGTCATGTCATCTCAGCCAAAGTCTTTGTTGACCGGGCCACCAATCAGAGCAAATGTTTTGGTAAGAATATGGTGATCAAAAAGACAGAGTATGGTCATTTTTGTTTGAACTCTTAGGACTAAGTTCATCACATCTGAAGGCATTTTGGGGTCTCAATGAACTCTATATTTGAAAGTCCACATATCCAAGGCCACAAAAGAGCCAACTCTGACACACCCACCATCCCATACAGTCGCCACTCAAGCCTATGTCCTCTAGAAAAGTCACAGCTTCATCTTCCTCCTTAAGAACTGGCCTTGGGGCTAGAGGTGGAGTTCAGAGATCTGAGTACACTTAGTGGCATGAGGTCCTAGGTTCTATCATCACACACATACACACATACACACATACACACACACACACACACAGAGAGAGAGAGAGAGAGAGAGAGAGAGAGAGAGAGAGAGAGAGACCCAACTCCATTTCATGTAGCATGGGGATGCTAGATTTCAAAAGGACATAGGTTTCTTTCCATTGCTTTCCTGTCTTTGGAAGCTTGCTACAGTCCCTTGTTCCAAAAACCACTTACGGGATTTCCAAAAAGAATGTTTCTGAGAGCTCTCAGACTGAGGAAGGAGCCACCCTTCAAAGAATACTGGAAAGTATATCCTAGTTTGTGTGAATGGTTGGACTGGATTCACTCATTAAATCTATCAGCAAACTATTTCTCAATGCCTACTCTATGCCAGGCAAGGTTCATGGTATTAGCAGTGCTCAGAAGAAGTAGGGTAGTACTGGGAAAACAAATAAGCTCTGGCCCTATGGCAGGACAGCGATGTAGGGCCCTACAGCAGGACAGTGATGGAGGGCTGGGCCAGGCCTTATGCCCTTCTCACCTCAGGCTTTGTGAGTTTCGACAATCCGGCTAGTGCCCAGGCTGCCATCCAGGCTATGAACGGTTTCCAGATTGGCATGAAGCGCCTCAAAGTCCAGCTAAAGCGGCCTAAGGATGCAAACAGGCCCTACTAAGGACTTCAGGTGGGTGCTGCTCCTGTTCTGTGACCTCAATGTCAGGCTCCACACACTGCAGCCAGACCCCTTAAGTGAATGCCCTACCCTTCTGCCACCACCACCTGCCCCACCCTGATGCTGGACAGGAGGAATTGGGATCTGGGTCACTCCCTCAGCTATTATTGTTCAGTCAGTTGTGTCTCCCACCCACATATATATATGTGTGCATATGTATACACATACACACACACACACACACACGAACACACACGCACACACACGGATGCACATGGATGCACACGCACATGCACGCACACACAGAACCACCCTAGAGCCAAGTCCACACCTGTGTCTACTCCTAGAGTTTTCCACAGTATCTGGTCTTGTTTGTCTGGTCAGTGTCCATGTGTCTGTGTCTATCTCTTCCCGGTTTTCTTTTGGGTTGGATGGAATTGGTGGAGTAGGTTTCAGGGGGGCCAGGAGGCTGGTTTGGAGAACTGGAGGGTCAAAGAGCGCTTGGGTTTGAAACCTGATCTCCCTGAGAGGTGGAGACACAGCGCCCTGAACTGCAGGTGTTTGTCCCAGGCCGGTGGACCTTGGGGCAGAACACAGTACAGATGGGAGTGGGCGTGGCTTGGCTTGGTGAAGGAAGTGGAACTGTTCTGAGTAGCCCCCAGCCCGGTGAAGGCTGCCATCCAGCCTTGGGGCATGCACCAGGAGCCCAACCTACCTTTGATTTGTTTAACCTCCCTTGGACCAAACCTTGAAAAATTACAACCCAAGAACAATACCTACATTTCTGTTTCTCCCCTTTCCCCCCAATCCTGGCTGCTTAACTCCCCCCACCCTGGGGGCCCCCAGCCCAGGGTCCGTGTCCATTGTCGGCTGAAGCCCCCATCCCGGACCCCTGCTCCGGGCCCCTGTAAGTTGCATGGAACGAGCGTGTTGTCTTTGGAGCCAATTGTTTGTTATCTGGGGAGGGGCTATGGAGGGAAACAGCCCCTAGCCCAGGCTTAGGGCCGGGGCAGCTCGCGGGATGTGCGTGGTGAACAGTGGTTGGTGACTGTGGTCTGTGGTCTGTGCACTGTTTTCTTGCTTCCTATGTTCCTTTCTAAAAAGGAATGAGACCGCTAAGGGCTGGGAGTGGCGTCACCCCCTGAGACTCCATCCCTAAGTCCCTCTTGAGTCATCCCAGTCTCTGTGGATGCTCCCCTCTCTGCAGGTGTCTGTCCTGTCCGTGGACCCTCTTCTCCTTCCTTCTAGCTATCTCTGCCTGCCTGTTTGTCTCATTTCTTTGCCTCGCTCCTCATCCAGCCCTATCTTCCAGTCATGTTTGACTTGTTTCTTCCCGATAGCTTCAGTTTCTGTATGTTCCATGCCTCCTTCCCCATTTCACAATCCTTGCTCTATGTCCTCATAGCTGTAGGGACGGGGGAGGTGAGCAGATGGGTCTGTTGGGACAAGGCCTTTCTGATGGCCTGCCTTTCTCAGGTAGACCCATCATAGGTGCCATCACTCCCTGCCACCCCAACCTTACCCGGAACCCGTGACTAATACTAGCCACCTTCCCTGTGCTTCACCTCTATTTCCTTCCTTCACAGGTCTGGAAATACCAGAGGAAGGGGCACTTCATACCCTCTTCCTATGACTGGCCCTGGCCTTCTCTGCACATCTGCCCTGGGCCTTGACTGGACTCTGGGGCAAAAGCTGCTTCATGGCCCCGAGGGCCCAGGACCTGGCTCACTGCCACCATCTTGCCTCTCTGAAGGGCTGTGGTTTTGCCTCCCTGGCTCCAAGAGCCTGTTTCCTCCCCAGTGCCCTTTTTTTGGCCTTTGTGAGGGAGAAGGAATAGGCTCGAAGGTTCAGGGGCATCTGCCTTCTGCTAAGGCTCCTGAGATGGGCCTCTGTGCCCACTGTTCGCACTCACCTCCCCTCAGTGGGCCTGGAGTAGCTGTGTGGCCCAGGAGGGCAGCAGGACACGCTCCTCTTTCCCAAGCGCACTCACCCTAGCCCCTCCCCATGGCAGGGCCTTCTCAGACGCTGGGTCCCACATTTCCCTCCACCCTCAGCTAGAGGTAGGATATCTCCAAATCCTGGGCTTTCAGCCCTAAAACTAACTGCCTCCCCCAAGGGCCCCCTCCAAGGAGGGTGTGGGGGGCCCTGAGGGCTGCCACTCTGCCAGTCAGTCACAGAGACCCTCCTTTCATGAGGAAAAGACCTTTCCCTGAATCCCTAAAAATGTTTACAGTCTCTGCTGGCCCCTCCATGTAAATACCATGACCACCAGGGCATTACCCAGCCAGACGCTGCCATCTCTCTTTCTGGGAGTTTAGACAATGTTGCCCTTGGATTTTTTTTTCCTCTCTCTTGATTTCTCCTTTTACTTTGGGGTAATTGGGTATTTGGGGGAAGGGTATAGGGAGGGTTAAAGGGGTTTATTACCTGATCGTTTTCTTTAGGAAGAGGTTTTAGGGAAAAGAACATGGGGTGGGGTGGGAGGGTGAAGGGCGAGGAGGAGGAATCAATTTCTGACAGTTCTCTACGCTTATTTATTGAGTTTTACTTTTAAAGAGTCAGTCTTTTCTGTCTAAATAAAGAAAACGTTTGAAAGCATCAACTGAGTCATGGAAGGTTGAGAGTAGGGTGCTCACACTGGAGGAGAGGAGGGAGGGAGTGGGAGGCCAAGCCCTTGCCGTTCAGACCTTTCTCATCTTTAAGGCTTAATTCTACAATGTTCTCCAGAGTGAAGCCAGGGGAAAGAATCTACAGTTGAATGTAGAGGCAAGCACTGGTCCGGAGGCCTCCCGTCTAGTCATGCATGCCCCCTCTAAGGTTGGGGTCTTGTAGTTTCAGGGACACTAGGAGCTGGCTTTAATACTACTATTGCTGTTTGTGCTCCTGTGCCGACTCCTTAATGTTTATGTCTTTATTCTTTAACCCCGTGATGGGTTGGGCAGGATGTAATGTTATAGACAGGGAAGAGGATATTTTGAAAACTCCTTTCCCGGGGTTACAGTGACAGACAAGAGAAAGCCACAGAAGCTGAACGTTTGTCCAACTCCAGAGCCATGCTGTGTCTTCTCACCTGTGTTACCTGAGGTGAAGATCCCAGCAGTAGCAAACAGGCTACTGCATGATCGTCCAACAGAAGGTCTGAAAGTCAATTTCTTTTCTAAGAACTGCTGTTGGCTCACAGGGATCGTGTGGTGTAGTTTCCTTACTGTGCACCGCCCACCTGCTTGGAGGTAGCTCCTCTCTGCCAGGCCTTAGAAACTTGCCCTCCAGTTATGATCTGGCCTCAGGTCAGAGCTGTTCAGTGAAAATAAGCCTGTGGGATGGGGACTTAGCTCAGTGGCAATAACACAAGGAAAGGATGCACAGGGCCCTCTACACCAATACAGAAAAAATGAGAAAGAAACCAAGGGAGTAAAGAAGAGGAAGGCAGCGAGAGTGAGGAAAGGGGTAAAATACAATGGCAAAAGAGAAACTGCAGCTATGGGTCAAACTTCATAACTCCCCCCCCCCACACACACACCCCTCACTGTTGTCTTAGCACAGCCTGTAATAGTTTAAAGGAACTCAGAGCACGGCAGCATATGGCTGCAATTCCAACACTTGGGGGATTGAGGCACAGGTTCAGGAGTTTGAGGCCAGCCTGGGACAGACAGAAATCAGGCAGGCATGCAGGCAGGCACACAAGCACTATGGAGATATTTTTTGCATGTGGCTTCAGGGAGAAGCAAATCTTAGTGTGGTAGAGATCAGGAATGAGGTGAAGAAAAGCCATACTCCTGGCTTTTCTTATGACCAGGGACACGGGACATGCTGGTGAGGAAGTCAAGCCCATCGTGGTAGTGGCAGGACACTGTTTGTTTATAGCTCTAGAGCAGATAGATAGTCCACTTGTGTTCTCTTTTTTCATTCAGTGTGGGCCCATGGGATGGCGCCGGCCACACTTAGGTAACCCATCTCAGTTCCTCCTCTCTGGATGTGCTCTCCTAGGCTGGTTTGAAATCCAGTCAAGCTGTAACCTTAGAACCACAGTGAAGATTAGAGGCCTGACAATAAGGCTCTAGGCATGATGTTTAGCTAGTAACAAAATGCCCAAAATCTTAGTGACAAGTTGTGTGTGCATGCATGTGACGGCACACTGAGAAGAAGCGAGTGTAAGGGCAATATCAGCTGGTGGGGTTTGTGAACGTTCCCCAGAGCTAACTCAACTTTACAACCGTGTGGCGGTCAGAACAAAGACAGTGAGTTTCAGATCAAAGACTCTCCCAGAATGACTGCATCTCCTCACTCCTGGTATCTTTGGGCTCTCAGGCAGATGTGGCAGCACCTCAGGGTCCACTTCTATTGTATGCTCCTAATAACTTACTGAGGGAAAGAGTCATGTTAACAAAAGAGACAGGACCAAAAACCCAACCCCAAGGATGAGACTGTGGTAGGGCAACTACAGCTGACAAGAACATGGCAGGGCAGACCCTGAAGGAGTTAATAACTTCCTTTTCTGTACTTTTAGAGCTAGGAAATATGCACATGTTGTGAGGATGTCCTGAGCTGGGCTGACTGCATCCACAGCCTTTTCCAGTCCGCTATTCACTTCTTTGGTTTCAAGTACCTGAGATCCAAAAATTCCTTCATGGTCAAGCTTCAATTACCTTCTCTAAATATGAGCATCTGAATAGCCCTGGCCTAACATCCTGGTTCTTAGAAAAGCTTTCTCACTTTTCAGCCTCTTTTATTATTAATTATTATTATTATTATTTATTAATTTACTTAGGTTTTTCTAGACAGGATTTCTCTACATAGTCCTAGCAGTTCTGGACTCTCTCTCTAGACTAGCTGGCCTCAAACTCAGACCCACCTGTCTCTGGAGTGTTGGGATTAAAGGCGTGCACCACCACCGCCAGGGTCAGCCTCATTTAAAGTGCACACACACGTGCATGTGTGGGGGTGAGCGTGTGCCGAAACGTGAGTTGCAGTTAGAGGACGTTTCTGGAAGGAGCTTGTTCTCTCTTACATGTGGGCCCTGGGGGACTGAGTTAGGTCATCAGACTTGGTAGAAAGCATCTTAATCACTCAATCACCTTGGTGGTCCACTGAGTCACATGTCACCTAGAACAGTTTTCAAATCATTGTGTGGTCAAGAATGAACTTGAATTCCTGCTCCTCCTGCCTCCACTTCTCATGTTCTGAGATTGCAGGTGTGCACCTACACAGGGTTCACTGACTACTTCTCCAAGAGTCAACTTCCTCTTGCTGAATGCAGGATTTCCCTCCATGGACAGGACCCTCCTGCCTGCTCAGTAAGAACAAGTCCCTGCCACATGCTCCTTATTTCTCTCAACTCTTTTTCGTACTACCTTTTCTCTTAGTTTTCATAGTAGTAAACATTACCACACATACCCACTAGTGGCCAAATCTGGATTACAACTTTCTATTCCCTGCCTCCGTTTTGGGGAGGAATGGTTGAGACAAGCTGGCCTCAAACTCCCAATCCTCCCTGATTCACTTCTCAAGTGCTGAGACTGTAGTCACAGGCTTCTGCATTCAGCGTCTCCCACATCATCTAGTCAGTCCCAACGGGACGATAAAGCCCCAGCTGGGTTACTCAGGTCTCCTCGGCTATCACTTCAGTCTATGCCCATGTCCCACTAGAAGCCTGCAGTATGCTGCTCTGCCTCTACATTCCTCTGCCTGCTCATCTACATGCAACCTCTTCTTCACAGCTAGAGTCAACTCTTAGTTCACTAACTTTCATTGGCTGCCTTGCATATGCCTTGTTCACTGCTACTGTTCTAAACACGTACTCTGAACACAAGAAGCTATTTAGTAAACAATAAAGTAATGACCAGGTGGCTTGTCAGGTAAAAGTGTTTACTATTCTTCCAGAGGACACAGGTTTGATTCCCACCACACACACAGTGACTGACAACTGCCTGTAACTCCAACTCCAGTACCAGAGGATCCCCACTCATACCTGTGTACATACAGACACATTCAAAAGAACCGCTAAAGAAGTGACTCCTGGGGCAGGAGAAGGTGGCTCAGCAGTTAAGAGCATTGGCAGCTCCTCTAGAGGACCTGGGTTCAATTCCCAACACCACATGGCAGCTCACAACTGTGTAACTCCAGTTCCAGGGCGTCCAATGTACTATGTACATTGTAGGCATGTATGTGGTACATATATATACCTGTGCAGGAAAGCAAAATACCCACACATTTTTTTCTTTTTAAAGAAAGACTTCTAGATATCTATACTGGATTTGCCACCTGTATGTAAATCTGAATATTCTAATACTAAAACATGTTCCCTCCAAAATCTTGGGGCTTTTTGCTTTTCTATTTTGGTTAAGATTTAATTTTTTTTAAATTTCAAAACCGAGTTTCTCCGTGTAGCCCTGGCTGTCCTGGAACTCATTCTGCAGACCACACTGGCCTCAAATTCAAGGATCCCCCGATCTCTGCCTCCCTGCCTGTTGGGATTAAAGGTTTGTGCTACCATGACCAGCTTTAAGATTTTGATGTGAGTATCCACATGTATATCTGTGGACCACGTATTTATTTGCCTGGTGTTCAAAGAAACCAACAAGAAGGTTGGATCCCCTGGAACTGAAGATGGTTGTGAGCTACTATGCGTGCTAGGAACTGACCATGGCTCCTCTGAAGAGTGGACAGTGCTCTTAATAAGGCAGCTCTCTAGCCCATTTTATTTGGTTTTTGGCATTTTGAGACAGGGTTTCTCTGTGTAGCCCTGGCTGTCCTGGAACTCACCCTGTAGACCAGGCTGGCCTCGAACTCACAGAGATCTACCTACCTCTCTGCCTTGAAAGTACTGTCCCATCCCACTTTATTTTTTGAAATGAGATCTCATGTAGCCCAGGCTGGCTTTGAACTTGCTATATAGCTACAGATAATCTTGAATTCCTGATCATCCTACAATTGCATCCCAAGTGCTGGCATTACAGTGCACCCACCTGGCCTGGCTCAACTCTTAAAATAGCTTGATTCTCTAGTCACACAGAGCTTGGGAGCCCTTCATCCATTTCACGTAAATTCAGTGCAGTTTAATCACTGAAGATTTTGTTTCTACAATATTTCCTTCCTTTCAGTTATTATTGTGTCTGCTTCTTAATGGGATAATTATACCAGTCTCCTAATTCTTCCCCTCTTCCACATGCTGGAAGCAGAATCAACCCCCCACGAATTGTCCTCTGACCTACATTTACTGTGACACACACATTCGAACACACACATAAACTATAAAAACAGGAACTGGGAGAATCCTTACCTCCTCCTGCATTCTTGGACATGCCCTGTATTCCACTGACACAGAACTATTCACTGTACTCTGGACAAGTCTGGTCTTTTCTTACCCCATGCTTCTTCACTCTGTATGCTACAGAGTCTTGAACATGACAGCCAATACTATTTGATACCTGCTTGATGAAATCCTGCCCATGTTAAGCCATTTACATTAAACAGCACTTTAAGATTTCCCTTATATCTTCATCTGTAAATCTTAAGATTTATTATATTTGTTGTATATATGTGTACAACACAATTCACATGTGTACAGAGAGTAACTTGTGTGAAATCAGTTTTCTCTTTCCACCATTTGGAGCCCAGGAGTCTACCTCAGGTTGTCAGCCTTGGCAGCAAGAATCTTTACCTACTGGACCATCTTGCCCTTTCCCATGCTTTTGAGACAGGGTCTTATGTGGCCCAGGCTGGCCCTGAAGTTGCTAAGTAGCAGAAGCCGGCCTTGCACTCATGAACCTCCCATGTCCTGAGTCTGGAGTTAGAGGCATGTACAATCATATGTGGGTCTTTTATCATAGCCCTTGTAGCACTAAAACCTTCCACTGTGTATCGTGGGCCTGTCTGCCCTGTGAGGCAGTGAGCACTCCTGTATCTGCAATTTCTTACACAGTGTCCCATACACAGATTTACTAATGCTGTTACTTTAGCCTCTGAAATTATAATTCTATAATTCTTTCTATGGTTCTTTCCTTATTAAAGAGAAAAAATTTTTTTACATGTCTAGTGGTCAGTGGCATAGTATTTATTAGATTCCAAATACTAGGTGAATGAGACTGTGAATAATGTTTCACCCAAATCCAAATAAAATGTCAAACTTGGTGGTCCTTGCTCTTAGGGTCCACTAAGGACCAAAGCATGTGGAAAGGGGCTATGAAAATACCAAGAAATGATGATTCATACAAAACGGAATGCCTGACTCACTACAAATGCTGAGCTTTTTGGAGAACAGACTCTCTTCTGAGTAGGGAGGTTGCCTGGTACCTAGGTTCTCTGTGTACGACCAAGGACAGCAAGGTCACTTTTATTCTCATGCACATGATCAGAGGAGGATTGCAACCCACAGAGTACCTGGTTTTGCCTAGGTACCAATATCAGTAGGGGATACATAAAAATATTTCCCTAGCTACTTACAAATGAGATATACATATGCTCAGGATCAGGTGGGACATACCAAGTCCCAAAGACTCTGCCAGGTTTGATCTGTGCTTGCTTGGTGACGGAGTCTTGTGAACAGTCACAAGACTTTGCAAAGGAGAGCTCAACGAACTGAGAACTGAGGAAGCAGATGGAATTTCTGAGGGAGCCACTGGGGAAAGAGTGGTTCCTTCCTGCCCGCCTCAACTCTGCTTCACTGGTCAGCTGGGAAAATCAGTTAGACGTCTCCCCTCATCTTCAGAGTAGCCATTCCACTCAACTGCCAAAGGCCCCTCTTTAGTTCTTCCCACATACCCCAAAGGATTGGTAGTCTAGGAAACCAAAGAATTGTTTCATCAATAAATCAATTTATTTAAAAGAATATGTTACAATTAATTACACTAAGTGACATTACCAAACAATCTTAGAGTGGTTAGCTCTAGAGCAGGGGCTGGAGAAACACTGGAGCCAGTGGGTCTCTGCATTTTCTCTTCACATTTCATAAATCACAAATAAAAGTACAAGATACTGCAGTGAAAATACAATTAGTTTCTCTCAAATAAATTAAAAATGTGCATGGCCTGGGAAAAACTGAAGCCCAGCTCACCAGCTTAGAAGAGGCATGACAAGTTGGCACCCATGGTCAGCAGCTGGCCAAGTGCTCCTACCAGGATCAGTCCCTCTTCAGTCTCGCTCCTCCCCAGAGCCTTATTTCCATGCACCCTCAGTTACTGCTGAGAAAGAAGTTGCTGCTATCCAGGTAAAGAAGGCCTGGCAGATACGCTGAGGGTTAGAGTAAGAGGAACCCAAGATGGAGGACTGAAGCCTTCTCCCTCCCACTAGTTCTAAGTATTCACCCACACTGCTGCTCCTCCAAAAAAAGTTAAAGCAACCCATACAACTGGTGAAGGAGCATCGGTGTGCTGAGGCTGTCCCTCCAGACAGCATAATAGACAGGAGGGCAGAAAGGGCCTCCATTCCTGGAAACTTTAGCTCAACTCAAATGTATGTAGGTCCCTTTAAGAAAACTGCTTTCTAGGAGCTGGCCCTTAAGCTGGAAATTCTGAGATAAGAGAGGCGCTCCCTCTTATCAGTGCCCTATTTTGGTGCTTCAGGCATCAGGTTTGGAGCAATGAAGGGGGATAATTCAAAGCTACTGGCCCAGGTAACTAAAAGATAAAATTAAATGGGCCAGGCAAGAGGATGCTAGATCATTTACCTTGTTCCTCCCTGAGAGCTCTGTCAAGGCCTGGGAGCTGCCCTGAACACACTGACACATCTGTAGCTGTGCTGAGCTTAGGCCTCGGCAAGGGCAAGGGCAAAGGCAAGGCTGAAAAACGGAGACCAGAATAAAAATACAAAGAGCAGCAAGCTCAACGCACTGCCCGAGCAAAGTTTCCTAGAGCACCAGGCTTCTCAGGGCCTAAGTATTTTCCTGCTCCATAAAAATTTCTGAGTTTTAGTCTCAGAGAACAGAAACTCGGCGTGGAGGAAACGACAACTGGAGACCAGGAAGCTGGGAAGGGAAATCCCTTTCCCAGAGACAAACTGCCCAAGAAAACTGTAGATGCCTCCCTAGGCAGAAGCCAGGACTAAGAAACATAGAAGGGATTAGAGAAAGGAAGCGCAGGGGCTTGGGGGAGGGAGTACTTACATCTAACACAGCTTCATGCAAAAGAACTTGATCCTGTGGGCCTCTAGGCCATAGTGACCTCCTCCTCCATCACTGCAGCCCCACTGGGAGCCTTTGGGACCGCCCTCTTCCCCTGTCTCCCTGCTGCAGCTGGGTGTTTTGGTAGCAGACTACCTAAAATAGGATGTTCCTACATAGATTCTGTTAACTCCAACACATGTGGGGCTGACTCTTCAGGACCTCTAAAGCCCTGTCTTTACTCTGGAAGGCTGTAGGATAGGCTCTCCCCCTGAGGGAGTGGGCTGCAATGTTGCTGTTTTTACAGTTTGAACATAGCTGGCCTCCAGAGCATCTTGGAGAAGAAATCAATTTGCTCTCTCTTAAGGTACTCAGACTCATTAAAGCCAACAGGGAGAGTTGACCCTGATTAAAGTCTTCAAATCAGGTATTACCCTCTTCACCTTTAAACACTCACCATATTTTGTACTTTGTGGTCCCACAAGTTTGGAGAGGGAAGGAACAGGCTGTCTGTCCTAAAAGGTTCACACCTTCCTGGGGCAAGTGGCTGCCAGAATAATGGAGACAGAGAAGTGGCTCATAATGCTCTGCAAAGCCACGGCATGAAAGCAACTTGAAACCAAATCCAACACTACCAAAGGACATCCAATTCTGCTGCCTTTCAGCGACATGAAGCCAAAGACACAGCCTACGGAGGCTTCAATATCGAAGGTAAAGTAGATACAAAGTTTCAAAGATGTGTTTTAGTTGTACCTAACCTGAGCGTTCCTTACACAAGAACTCAAGGTTTGAGAATATTACTCTAGTGCCAGTCTGGCCTCTGTCCCAATGACTTTTAGGTCCCAGGAGGTCTAAGTGCAGGAGCAGGTAAGGAACTCTTCTACTTTTGAGATATGTGATCCAGGATAGCCTTGAACTCATTAGGTAGCAGAGGGGTGAACTTGAAAATTCTGAGTTTCCTGCATTCCCCTCCAAGTGCTGAGATTACAGGTGTGCACTACAACACCCCAAGTTTTAAGTGGTGCTGGGGATGGAACTTAAGGCTTTTTGCATGCCATGTAAGCACTCTACCAACTGAACCAGCCCCAGGCCCTGGCCCAGCCCCAGGCCCAGCTCCAGGTAAAGAACTCTTTAAGAGATTTCTCTTCAGTCTCCTTTGAAGTAAATGGTGGTGGTCAACAAAATCGACCATATTTCCACTTCTTGGGCCCTGAGCTGTCATGAACGGGGCTCTGATTTGGTTGGCAGAGACCCAGACTCTAAGCTTATCCAAGACACTCCCTCCACACACAACTGTTTAAAGAACTCATGAGGATATTAAATATAGATGGTTACTGGACAGGAACAGAGGAGGGAAGGCCCTTATAAATACGAGGCATTGCTTCCTTCCTTCCCTCCATATGCCCAACCTCTGTGCCTCAGATGTCAAGCTTTGCTCCTAAAATGATCCTTGCTGCAGAAGAGAAGTGTTGCAGTTTCCTATGGTAACAGCTTCCTCAGATTACCCTCAACTGTCTTGGGTCAGGTGAAAGGAAGCATATAAAAGACCCTAAAGAAACAGGAAGGAGATGCAGGATGGACTCAAAGTTGACTGATGGACCAGGAAAATGACTTAGAATTGAGACTCCAGGTCGTTAGACTCCCTGCAGCCTCACTGCTCTTGAGAAACAGCCTTTCTCATCCTCAGCACCCTCTTGCAGATAAAGATACTACACTCCTCACTCCTCAGACTCTATGGCAAACCAACAGCCAGAAACTGTACTCAATACAAAAAAGGGAAGAAAACCCAAGCAGGTTGTAAACTTTTCGAGTCCTTCTTGAGGAGAGGTATTTTCCCTGTATTTTTTTTTCCTTTTTAAAGTTTGTTTCAAAATAAAGAGAGCAAGAGAGAGAGGTCATGAATTCAGTGAAAGGTGTGTAAAAACACAAGCTAAAAAAGGTACTGCCATCAATATGAAATTTAAAAAGAAATATATATATGTATATACGTGCAGCTAATTTGTGTATATATAATTTTTTACATACATACATACATATATATGCTTGAACAGTGCAAATGGATGGAGTTCATAGTTCCAGTTTAAAAATATAGTACAAGGAGAGTCTGTTGGTATGAGGCCCGGGTAAAATGACAAAGCTGCCTTTGGCGAGCTGGTTGGGCGTGTGTCTGTCTGAGATCAGTGGACGTCTGGCATTCTCAACCTGCTGCTCTCTCCCAGCTCAGTCCCAGAGACGCAAAACACAGGAAGTTATTAATAATATTTAGCTTAGGACTTTGGGATATAATGACTTTTTTTCCTTTTTTTCTTCTTTTTTGTTAATGGTTACTGTCTGACATGGGAGATGAAAAGGCTAAGAGGCTGAGGGCAAAGGGAAGGAGGGATGAGGAAAGGCTAGGTGGCCACATCCCTCTGCTGTGACCTCGCCATCTGGAAAATATTCTGAAAGGAAAAAAAAAAAAAGAAGCGTTACTGAGGAGCAGCACGGCCTCCACTCTGGAGACAGCACAACAGGGGCAGCCAACTCGGCTGTCAGCCAGACTCAACCATCCATCGGAAGCACAGCCGTCAGAGTACAGAGGACTCTGGATATGGACCACCTGGCTCAGTCTTCCTCTTCTACAAAATAGACAATCAGATCTGAGGAGGCTGCTATGCCTAAAATCACAGATAAAAGCAGCAGGAGGATTCCAGATGACTTCCAGAGCCCAGTGTTCTTTCTACTATAGCAAGAACACCAACTTCCATGTGACTGACTATACTTCTTCATTTTCTGATTTCTTTGAGAATAAGTAGCTAAGTATTTAGACAGAGTCTTCTAAATTCTGCTCCAACACTGACACCTATAAACAACAGTAGCAAAGAATTTCCTCCACATTTATGCTCTTGGTTAGTGAAGAAAGACTCTACTGTGACTGATCCAGTCAGATAGCTAAATTCTGGACAGGCGCTCTCCTGGGTCAGGAACAGCATGGAGGGTTATTTAATTAAAAAACAAACAAACAACAACATTAAAAATCAAACAAACAGGCAGAAGAGGGTCCATGAGGTCATGAGAGACGGGAGAGCCTGCAGCCAGTGTCCACCCTCTACACAAGGGGAGAAGCAGGGCTTTTTTGCCCATTCACCATCCAGAGGCCAGCCTCGCTGGGAGAATGTCCTGGCTCACATGGGATAATCAGTCTCTAACTAATATTCCTAGAAAGACAGAAATGGAGGTGAGGGTCCTGGTATTTGGTCATGGTCCTATGAATTGTAAACAAGAAGAGGAATAAATTAACTCAAGAATTCTTTACAATTACCTCTTTTCTCCACTTGAGCTCGCAGAACACCCTCTCAAAGCATTCATGCATGTAATTGAACTGGAAAAAAAAAAAGGTAGCAATACTCACTGACTTCCCAAGACCAGGCCCAAGGCCATGCCTTTGAACTTCAAGTCTATCACCCCATCTTCCAAACCCACCCAGGACAGAGAAAATCCTGCCAGGAACGACAGACCACAGACCTGACCATCTACTGTTCTCCAGCTCCTCCTAGTGCTGACTACAACACACAGCACAGGGTGTGAATTCCACAATCCCAGACGGACAAAATGTTCAAGTGGTCCATCTGTGCTCTTATGGTCATCAACAGAGGAATAAAGGCTTGTGGTCAGAGGCTGCAGACACACTATGGAGAAGGGCATACAAGGGTACAGTGGCCCTCATCTTTAATCCCAGCACTTGGAAGGCAGAAGCAGGGGGAGTTCTTTGAGTTCAAAGTCAGCCTGGTCTACATTAGCAAATTCCAGGCCGGCCAAGGCTAGATAGCGAGACCTTGTCTTAAACAAACAGCAACAAACACCAACTATGACAATGGAGAGAAAGTTCTCTGAGTTGACTTTGTTGCCTCTGAGAGCTCCAGGTTCATGTGACTTCTCCTTTAGTTCCCACTAGGATTTACTTCAAACGTTCAAAGCCCAATCTACTTTCCCCATGCCTCCCATCTCCCACTCACATATGGTGTGAAGATTTTAACCCATCGAGGCTTCTTCTCTCCTCGCGCATATTCAAAACAGAAGGCCATTCCTTCTTCATCTGTGTCCCATCGCTGCATCTCATCCCATTCAAACGCTATTACCTGGTTCTAGACAGCCAAGAACATCAGAGTAAGGGCTACAGTTTAAGTATGAGAGCACTGGCGAGCCGAAGCAAAGGGATTCTGATGGAATCAGGGAAAGGCTGTGACAACAGACACTTAGGCTGCTGGGGTGACTCAGTGGGAAAGTGCTTGCTGCCCAAGCTGACCTGAGTTTGAGCCCCAGAGCCCACACAAAGGTGGAAAAAGAAAAAACGACTCCACAAAGTTGTCCTATAACCTTCACACATGCATCATGGCATGGACACGAGTGCGGACACGCGTGCGCGCGCGCGCACACACACACAACACACACACACACCCCATGTACACATATAATAATTAAAATGCATAATTTGAAGCTAGTAAAATAAGGATCAATGTGGGCTCACTGATTATCATCATCAACAGTTTCCATTTCATTTGCTCCACAAGGAGGAACTAAACCACAGGAAGTATCCAAGTGTCCATTGACAGAGCTCCTGGCCTAGCCCCAGGCTGAACTCTTACCTCCAGCTGCCCTTCTTCAGTGCAGGCATGAAGTTTGAAGTGCGTGATGCTGATGGCTGTGATCACATGGCCCTTCCTCCTGGAGTCGCAGGCGCAGTGAGGGAAGATGATCTCATTGTACCCCTCGCAGGTCCTTAGCATGTTGAGGTACTGCACACACAAATGAAAGGGGTAAGCACGCTACAATGATGCTGACGCCCAGTGCAGTTCCTGAGACAGACAAGAGCATGTGACCCAGTCACCTGAGACCTGCCTTCTCATCTCACACTTGACCCAGAGTTGGGACAGGCTCTGTGACACTCCTTTATCCCATTCTCAGCTTTTCCTTCACAGTTTTAACACTGAGTTCTCTTTAAGACGATATAGAAATGAAGTGACAGAAAAGACACTGTGGTCAAGAGCACTAGCATCAGAAAGGACTTCACAACGGCGGCCAGTGTGACCCTCTACTGTCACTGTGCTTAAGGGATGGAAATCTAGCCTATCTTCATAAGAGCTTTCCCCCATCTCTTCTATAATCAAAAATTACCCTGATCCTAATGATGAAGAGAAAACGACTCTACACCTCACACTCATAACATGTTATAATTAAAATAAACTAAAAAAACCTAGTCATTTTAAAGAAGTGGGATAAGCCTATCTAGGTCACTTGTCAGAAATGGGACAATTGGAACCAGAACCCAGGCTTTCCACTTTCCATCACCAGTAACTAATTCATTCCTAGGTGACCTGGTTGTCCCCTGAGTCCCAGTATATGTGTGTTAGTTACTTTTAATTGTCAACCCGACACAATCTAGAATCAACTGAGAAAGGAGGCTGAGTGGGGACCTGTCTAGACTGGCTTTGCCTATGGGTAGTCTGTGGAGGCTATCTGATTGATAACTGATTATGATTGATAAATGACTAAACTGAACCCTAAACTGAACCTAAATGTGAGTCGGACAATTTCCTGAGTCTGGGTCTCAGTGTGTACAAGAAGTGTGAGCTGAGCACAGATGTGCATGCACCTATTAACTCACTTATCTTTGCTCCTGAGGGTGCAATGGTAGACCATACCCAGAAATGGTGAACTAAATTAAACCCTTTCTTCTTAAGCTGCTAGCCAGAGTATTTTATCAGAGCAACATGGATGAAAATAAGACAGTGTGCCTCCTTAAAAACCATCTGGACTCATATCAAGTGAAATACGTAATCCTCACAAGATAATCCAGAGATGGCTTCAAACCCTGAAGATCCCCGGCTTTGCTCCTCTCCTGTACTGTTACGGCGGCTCTCTAACTCAACTCATAAGCCCAAGTTGAGCGAAGACTAGAAGACACTGGGATAGGGAGTAGAAAGAGGAGGCAAAGCCAGGCGTTGGTGGCGCACACCTTTAATCCCAGCACTTGGGAGGCAGAGGCAGGTGGATTTCTGAGTTGGAGGCCAGCCTGGTCTATAGAGTGAGTTCCAGAACAGCCAGGGCTACACAGAGAAACCCTGTCACGAAAAACCAAAAAAAAAAAAAAAGAAAGAAAGGAAGGAAGGAAGGAAGAAAGAAAGAAAAAAAGAAAGAGGAGGCAAAGAGATAAAGATTCATGTCTCTGAGCTGGAGTCCTTTCAAAGGCTGCCTCAGAAATAAGCACATAGGCTTAAAGTCACTGCTGCTATGTGCAAAAACAGCATCTGCAGTAACATCCATAGATGGGTGGGAATTCCAACCTGAGAACCATAAAGTTGTTATCTCTCTTACCAAGACAGAGGAATGACACCAGAAAGAAAAAAAAAGACACACGACAATCTGTGGCTCTGCTACTGGTGAATGACATTTCAAACACTGCTACTGCTGTTGGGGTTGCAGGTCCACGGGAGCAGAGATCACATCCTGACCACTTCATATTTCTTTCTTCAGTAAAATAACAACTTAGAAGATGGAAAAGCACAGAAGAACAGCAAGAGCAGAGCAGGCTGAGTTCAGAAGAGCCGACACAGCTCAAAGCCTCACTCTAGTTTTCTCACTCTCTTGCCACCAAGTCACACTTGCTCTTCCGCTTTCTTTGCCCTTCCTGTACCAGTAGACATGGTTCTGTTTATTCCTGCTCCATCCTTACAAGTACAAGAACAAACCCTGCCACACACAAGTAAGTGTGACAAGAGGCAGGTGCAATGGAATGTGCAAAAACTCTTCAACAGGGCCAGGGTCAGGTCTAAGCCCACTGAACAGTGATGAGTGCATCACTGGGCTGTGCTCAGGCCACCTTGTGCTCAAATCCAAACTGCTATTTCCTAGCTATAAAAGCGTACACAAGTTACTCAACCCTGGAGGCCTAGTTTCTTACTCTATAAACAGGAAAGAATAATGGCACTTATGTCATAATATTATTTATTAGCATCAAATATAAAATATTCAGCACAGAATTCGATATACAATTAGATGATTAATAAATGATAGCTTTAAATTTTGTCCTGTTTTGTTTTTTGAGACAGGGTTTCTCTATGTAGCCCCAGCTGTCCTAGAACTCATTTTATAGACCTGGCTGGCCATAAACTCATAGAGATCCACCTGCCTCTACCTCCTAAGTGCTGGGATTAAAGGAATGTGTCACCACCTCCACCACCTCTACCACCTGGTGATAGTTGAATCTTTTTAAAAGCTCTATTATCATTAGCCAAAGGGTTCATCCATGTTCTCTCAAGAACAGCTTGAGACCTGGGGGAGTGGTGGTACACCCATTTGGTGGACAAAAAAGAACAGCTATGAAATGACAGATCTGGAAATTACTTTTAAAAATTCCAGAGTAGGAGCCTGGAGAGATAGCTCAGCATTTAAGAACACCTGCTACCCTCACAGATGACCAGAGTCTGGTTCCCAGCACCCATATGGGGGGGGGGGGGCTCTCAAGTGTCTGTAACTCCAGCTCCAGGAGATCTGATGCCCTCTTCTGGATTCTTTGGGTACTACATGCACATGGTACACATACAAACAAGCAGGAAAACACACATACACATTTAAAATAAATAAATAAATAAATAACTTCCAGGATAAGGACTGGGAAGTTAGCTCAGTGAAAGAGTACTTGCCAAACTTGTGAAGCCCTGGGTTCAACCTTCAGCATCACAGAGAAGCAAGCAAATAAAAAATCAAAAACCTCTAGTTCTAGAGCCAAACAAAGTCTGCATATTAGAAAGGTGAGGACTGCTGGCACTGTGCAGGGGTGGTAACCTCAGCCTTCTGCACTTCCTGCATCACCCTTTCAGCTTCTTTGTGTGTTTGAAAACTTACAACAAAAATGGTAAAGGGAGAAGAATGCTCTGAACCCAGTCCTCCAACATCCAATCCAAGCCATATTCCTGACACAGTCATTAGAAACACTGACACACTCAATGCACAGCAATTCTGCTCATGGTGCTTAAAAATCTGTCGTGTAGGTAGGTGTCACACAACCTGAAGATTACTTCTGCTCAAGTTCTTTAACAAAAAATGACTAGTATAAAAGAAATATACCGAGAATTTTCTTTTTTTGGACACACTTCTGCTGTTCTGACAAACGTATCTCCCATATTCCTAGGACAGCCTTTTACTGTATGGATTTGTTTGTGGGGGAAGGGTTATGTCTCTGAGGTAGGATCTTCTGTAGCTCAGTAAGTTGGCCTGGAACAGGCTAAGTATATCAGGCTAGCCTTAAACTTGTGCTTCTCTGTCCCTGCCTCCTGAGTGCCAGTGTCACATGGCTTTACCTATCCATATCCAGCCCTCTGTATAGATATTTTTAAAGCAGCAGATAAAGACAAATAAAGAAAAAGTGATCAGAAGAGATGTGGACATTGTGTGTCCTGAATGCTCTGTGATATCTATTCCTGGGGCCTTTCCCACTGCCATGTGGAAGGAACAGAAACCCGCTCTTCCTTGACTCAGGGGAGACACGCACTAGAGCTCTAATCCCAAAGCCTAGCTCTGCTCTGATTAGTCACATGACCCCACATACTGTGCTTTGAATGGGAAATGTCTCAAATAGGCTTGTAAGTTTGAGCACTTGGTTTCCAGATGGCTGACACTCTATTTGGAAGACTATGTAACTATCAGAAGGTGGATCCTTACTGGAAGAGGTAGGTCAGTGGGGGCAGGCCTGGATCAGCCATCTCCTGTTCTTGCCACCACAACAGACTGTATCCCCTCAAAACTACTAAGCCATGGTAAACTCTTCCTCCCTTAAGTTGCTTCTTGTCTGGTATTTGGTTCACTTCTTTGTAAAATGAGACTAACACTTCATAAGAATTCTAGAAGAGTACCAGCATATAATGAATTACCTCTTCTTGTCCTTGGATTCAAGATATCACCCTAAAAGCAAAAAATCTTCAAGAGAGTTCTTACTGGCCTAAGTTCTAAAAATAACCTGAGTGGAAACTGAGGGTATCCATATCCTTGATGAGAAGCCAGATGTTGTTTTAATTGGGACCTAGGTCTTTGGAGACTACCGGGTTGGTATTACTTCTTAGTTTTAAGTGGACAATTGCTACATTGCTTAATTTGTACCAAGCTTGAAAAGAAGATTGAAAATTTACATGAATTCAAAATTGGAAAAGGTAAACTTTTATTTTCTAACGTATTTACAACATGTACATAAAACCCAAAGATTTAACGCTAGGCATGGTGGTACACATCTGTCATACTAGGACCTGGGAGATGGAAGTGGGAAGATGTTCAAGACCAGTTTTGTATAGTTCAAGACTATACAGCAAGTACAGCCCAGCCTGGGCATATGAGACCCTGTCTAACAAATAAAGTGGCCGCACGATTATTCTGTCCATTGTCTTATAATGACTTCAATAAGTAGAGAGGAAAGGTATAGGAAAGGACACTTTGTACATGTCAATAGTTAATGAGACATAGGCTTGGTACTTAACAGAGCAGAACACTTTAGGTGAATGGGTTAAGGTTCTATTCTAAAGAATTCTGTGCTCTCCCAGCTGACCTGCCAAAGGTCAGACCAGGTCTAATGGAAACAAGGGCCTGAGAGGAACCTTGGGAGCCAAGTCTCCCTAAACTCTAACTGAGATTCTGAAACTCTTCAGGTTTCACAATCTCAAGTATGCTTTTTACATATTTATTTTTATTGTATGTGTATGCATGTTTGCCTGCATGTATGTTTGTATACCACATTGTATACCTGGTGCTGTGAAGGCCAGAAGAAGGCATCAGATCTTCTGGAACTGCAGTTACACAAAGCTGTGTGCTGCTGTGAGTGATGAGAACTGAACCTCAGTCCTCTCTCCAAGAGCAACCAGTGCTTTTTAACCACTGAGCCATCTCTCCAGCCTCTAAGACAATGGGGTGGGGTTTGGTTTGGGTTTTGGTTGGGCTGGGTTAGGTTTGGGGTTGGGGATGGGGTTGGGGTTGAAGTTGAGGTTGGGTTGGGTTGGGTTGCTTGTTAGTCTTTTGAAACAAGATCTCACAAAGTAGCCCTGGTTGGCCTGGAGCTCACTATGCAGGCCAGCCTCACTCATTGGCGTATGCCATCACCCTTGGTCCCAGGGCTATTATCTTAAAGAACAGATGTAGCTTGTGCTTTAAAATACTATTTTATAGAAAAAGTCCCTTAGCCAAAATTCTGCCAATATTTAATTATACTCAAAGATTTTTGACTTTCTATTTCTGTTTGCTTATATGTAGTGGTAAAATGATTTCCTGATTTCTGGTGACTTTCTGTGGGAGGGAGATTTTTTTTTTTTTAACGTAAGTGATAAAGTGATTAACTATCCATCCTAAATGTAAAGTCATACATGGGCTAAGGGCAATGCTGACCCTATTCACCTTCTAACTTAATGTGTATGGATATAGGGTAGGGGGTATCTGATGTTAAGACATGATCACACTAATGTCCAGGCTGATCTCAAACTCAAGCTAGTTGGATACCTCAGTTTGCTCTTAAATAATGATCCTCTTGCCTTTGGCTTCCTGAGGGCTGAGATTATAGGTGTATTCCACCATACCTGGCCCAACTAAATTAATTTAAAATAGATAATATGTACATAGAAAGTAAAAAATAATTCCAGTAGTGTAACAGAATGATTACCAGTGCACTCATTATCCTGTGTGATATACATGGAACATTGCAAAAATTTTAGCTATATGTCATCTGCCAAGAGAGAAATTCGTAAATGCTTATGACCGAGATGTTTTAAATATTCTTTACCAGTGTGTGTGTGTGTGTGTGTGTGTGTGTGTGTGTGTGTGTGTATATATATTTTTTTTAACAATGTCCATCATTGTACTTATGGCTGGTACAAAGTAAAAACTAACTTTAAAACATTTGAGGAACATGCTAGGCAGCACTGGCTAACAGAACATCCTGCAATGCCTACACCTGCACTGTCATATGGCAGCCTCTGGCCTCATGGCTATTTAGCACTGAAAACGTGGCCAGTGCAACTAAAGGAATGAATTTTTAATAATTTTAAATCGAGATTTAAATAGCCATATGAAACTAGTAGCAGCTAAATCAAACCCAAGTCTAGGAACTCATAGGATGCAAAGCATCACTGAGCATAACTATCTAACCAACAGAAAACATTAAGGTGTAAAGCAATGGTTTTGCTACCTCACAACTAAACTCAATTTTAATGTTAAAGACCTAACTGAATGTAGTCGCTTATTCTTGTTTACCTCACCACTAGGGAGGCTGGTATAGGATATTCAAGTCAAATTCAAGGCCAGCCTAGACAACACAGAGAGTTTAAGGCCAGCCTGGGCTACATACCAAGCTCCAGGCTGACCTGGCTGAGACCTGTTCTAGGATAAACAAATACTAAACATTTTTTAAAAATCTAAATATTAATTCTTATAGATTATGATGTTTTTAAAGGTTTTTTAAAAAATTTATTTTATGTGCATTGACTGTTTCATCTGTATGTACATATGTATATCATGTGTGTGCCTGGTGCCCACAGAGGCCAGAAGATGCATCAGATTCCCTGGGACTGGAGTTACAGAGAGTTGAGAGCATCCACGGGTGCTGGGAATATCAACAGTGCTCTTAACCGCTGAGCGACTCTGCAGCCTTGGTGTGTTTTACGGTCACTGTTGTTGGTCTGTGACAGGACTCATTAACCCAGCCTGGCGTTAAACTCACTGCATGGCTAAGGGCAGCCTTTCCTTCCAGTCTCCACTGCCACAGAGTGAGTGCTAGAAGTACAGAAGTAGGTCACTATCTCCAGCTTCGTTTTATCAATTTTCAAACAAATATTGTTTAGCTATTACTAAAATTGATAAATTATTAAAAATTAAGTTACTAAAAACTATGTGCCTATGTATAATCTAAACTTTTTTATGTAATAATGGGGAAACACAAGGATTTTTCATCAAAGTTGATATGTTCCACCTCTTAATTTATCAAGCCTCTGACCAGGTTGTGGTACCTTTCCACATCAGATAAAACAGGACATTTAAGAAGCAATGAAGACACAAACTTACCATGACCATCTTCCTCTGTTCATACAGCTTCTGTAACTGGTAAGATTTCTCCTCTGCTTTAATGTAACCTTTCTTTACATCATCAACAGCCTATCACAAAGCACAGACAGAAAGAACATTTACTCAGAAGCATTTTCAGGAAAGCTTATATTCACCTGGACCACCCCCATCATCGCCACAGTGAACTGTCACCACACAGAAGACCTTACTAGAATAACTAGCACTGAAGGACGGCAGCATATGAGAAATCTCTGTGGAGAGCGCACTAAATGTGTGAGAGCAACAACAAGAGCAAGGAGAGAGAGTGCACATTATCTCTTAAAAACAACCATGATAAAACAAAGTGTACGTATGGCAAAAAAGTGTGCACTGTGCAGTTACAACAGGAGCAGCTGTAACCATAGTTACCAGAGAAGCCTAAGACAGACTTCCCTAGGCAGGCAAGTGAGAAACTTTCAGCTGAAGACAGGGAACAGGGAATAGATCTGCTGGATTTAAGTGAAGCGTTTCTGACTTAAGGCAATGAGCTTATGTGTGTGGCTAAAATAAGTAGGCTCATGCTATCTATCTATATCTGTATTTCTAAATCCATATATACACACACATACATAATGCATATACATATATATATATGGATCATGATGAGGAAGGAATGGAGTAAGATCACAGATGTTGTAACATTAAGGTACAAATTATTTCCCATTGTTTTAATTTTTTTATTATTTTTTAATAGACTGTTCCTTACTCAGGCCTATTTGGAGTTACCAATGCAGACTAGACTGATCATGGCCTCATGACTCTCCTGACTCAGACTTACATTCTGGGAATACAGGTGCGTGTGTCACCTGGTTTCCTAGAGTCCTAGAAAAGGGACTGAGTTCAAGATTGAAGTCAAGGACTGGATCAATGCCTAGCTCTATCTCCTGCCAACATCCACTTCAAAGTCACCTAAATCATCTCAATCTGGCAGACAGCCAAACATACAGATGACAATAAAAAAAGACAGAAATTAACATTTTTTGTAGTGATAAAATTTAATGAAATTATCTTTTGCAATCAAAGAAACAAAACTTTTGCTGGATGTCAGAGCCAAGTTAATAATGCAACTTGAGTTCACTTAAGACTTAACCTGCAGCCAGATGGTGGTGTGCATACCTTTAATCCCAGCATTCAGGGGACAGAGTCAGGGTGATCTCTATGAGTTTGAAGCCAGCCTGGTCTACAGAGTTAGTTCCAGGACAGTCAAGACTACAGAGAAACTCTATCTTAAAAAGCAAAACAAACAAACTTAACCTGCTATCTAACCTACTGTATATTCAGCCTGCTTAGGCTTAATCCACCTTTAAAAGAACAAATGTAACAACCAACTTTACTATGCCTTGAATTTCTCATTTACAACCTAAGCTAACACATAGCTGTAATCTTAAATTATATACTCTTCCATGCCTCAAAAGTCATGTGTGTGTGTCTGTGTGTCTGTGTGTGTGTCTGTGTATGTAATCATTTGCTGAAAGCAACTTTGTAAAAAAAATATCAACCATAAAGACTTCTATAAAATACTCTTATTCCTTTCCCATGCCACATGTTCTGTGCTATTCAATAAATACAGAACCAAGCGCTCTGTTAGGGACAGTCCAGTAGCAGAGAACATTCAGGTGGGCAAACACACACACAACAGACAGCCTATTGACAGACCAGTAGTCAGACTACAGACAAATGGACAATAAACAGAAGTGAAAAATCAAATTTGGGCTCATCCTTTTTCCCAATGATAAAAGTATTTATTTTTGTTTGGTTCTAATTCTTAATACCTATAATGATATTTGTCAATATAAATTGCATCCAAGCATTTGAGGGATAACTTCCCAGGGCAGAGGTGATTCAATCTACTGTAGCAGTATTAAGTCTTTCCAAATTCACCAGTAAAATGTTTTCTTTATACACACACATACACACGCACGCGTGCACACAGCTCACACTGTAGCTCGAGCTGGTGCCAAATATGCAGCCATCCCTCTTTCTCAGCCACTTCAGTGCGGAGATGACAGCTGGGTGTCATCTTACCTGCCTTTTCTTCTAATCAAGGTTAAACTGGTGGACTACCCCTGAATGAAAATCATAAATACTGCCACATTAGATTCCTTTTTCTCTTGATTAAAAATATTTATTAAAAGTTAAGCAGCCATACAGCTAAAAGCCAAAAAAAAAAGCAGTATAAAAATAGTCTCTCATTTGAGCTTCAACACAGAAAGACAGCTATTGGAAATGTTTTATGATCATCCTTACAAAATTCAACATGTCCTGCTTACTGATAATCTCTTCCTCCTATACTGGGGATTGAGCCCAGAGCCTCATGCACACTAGGCAAGCACTCTACCCCTGAACCTCATAGCTAGCCCTATACCAATACAGTTTTACTTTTTTTCAGGTTGGTCCTGAATGTACAGTTCTCTTGCTTCAGCCCCCAGAGTGCTGGGATTACAGTCATACACCATACCTCAGCAGGCTTTAAGGGAAAGTCTTTTCCTAACTTCTCAATTAAAAAAAAAAAGATAAAAGTTTAATCAGGGGCTGGAGGTCCTGAATACCGATTGCTCTTTTAGAGGACTGGGTGAGTTCTTAGCAACTCACAACTACCTGTAACTCCAGTTCCAGAGGGATCTGATATCCTCTGGCCTCCACAGGTACCTGCATGCCCATGGTGCACATAAATTCACAAAAGCACACAGATACACATAGAAAATATTTTTAAAATATTTAATCATAAGTATGCAAACAATGTTCAAAGCTACCTGCTTTACTGGCTTCCTTTAATAATTTAAAAATATTGTCTGTGATGTTTATTTTATTCTTCGTGCTCTAATTTGTAACTTTCCGTTTGCAAACATCCAATTCTGGTCAGTTAACTGCAAACAATAACCTTTCTTGTTTGTTTTTGTTTCTCTGTGGAGTCCTGGCTGTCCTGGAACTCAATTTGTATACCAGGCTGGCCTTGAACTCAGAACTCCACTAGCCTCTGCTTCCTGAGCGCTGAGATCAAACATGCTGCCACCACCCGACTATAATAACCAATTGTGTTATCAAATCTTTCACAATAATCAAACACCCAAACTCCTCTAGATGCATTCAAGTGTTTTAAAAACCTGCTACAGGCTGTCATCTACTGCCACGCCCTCCTTTCCTTGCACGTTCCCTTTTAGAGTCTCATGAGTCTGAGGATGGCACAACATTAGCTTATGTATAATCTGTCAGATTTAGCTACAATTTTAAAGTAAACTACCAAGAATTCTTACCTTATTAACTTTCAATGAAAAGATTCATTACCATCATTAGGTAATATCTCACCAATTCTAAGAGACACATTATTTCACAATCCCTAAGACTGGGAAGTATCTTACAGCAAGTAATTTACTAGCTTTTACCTGGCAAATTTTTCCTTCTTAAAACAAACAAAAAAGGTACATCTTATAATTTATGACATCTTAGAAAAAATGAAATGTATTAGATTCCCTAAAATAGGGTACAAAGTAACTAAAATAATAAAGGAGAAACATAATACTATTTCACAAAAAATTTCACATAAAAAATCATCTGAGACTTGAATACTGTTAGTAGAAATATAAAATATGACCACAAAACAACAATAACATAATAGTTCTTCAAAAAACTAGAAAGTGGTTAAATTTTTTCCTCTGAAAACATATGGATTTGAACCTGGATCCCCAGTAGCTTGCTGGACAACCAATCTAGCCAAATTGGTGACCTCCAGGTTCAGTGAGAGACCCTGTCTCAAAACAAAGGGACAGTGATAGAGGAAGACTTGTGATTTCAAACTCTGGCCCTCCGTGTACACTAGCATCGGTGCACACATTCCATACACACATGAACAAAAGCACATATCACACACAAATTGGAGATGGAATTACCAGCGGATTCAGCAACCTCAATTCTAAGCATATTAAAAAAGGGGGGGTAGATTTCAAATGAACATCTACATATAAACGTTCACAGCAGCACTACTCAGCCAAGTGGTAGGAGCAACATAATGTTAAGTCAGCTACAGAATCCCACTGCAGGAGGTAAGTTATAGCAATGGTGGCTGTACAAGGATGGTAGGAAGGGAAATGAGGCACTGTTGTTTAATGTGCCCAGAATCTCAATATCAAAAGGGTTCTGGAGACCTGCCACAAAAAAGGTAAGTAAGCTTAACACTCCTGAACAAGACGAACCTTAAAAAGCTGGTGTGGAGGTACATTCCTGCAACCCTAGCACTTAAGAGGGGACAGTAGGAGGGTCAGGGCTTCAAGGTCATCCTCAGTTATATGGAGAGTTCAAGACCAGCCTGTTCTACATGAGACTCTGTGTGGGGGGGTGGGGGTATAGGAATAATCACAAGGAACTGATATGAAGGACAGAACAAAGAAATTCCATATGAGAACCAGAGTTCAAAAAGAGAACAACAGATTAGAAGTTAATCAATTTAATCATTCAAACAATTTGCCAGATCAGGAAAGACAATTTCCACACATAGCTCAACATAATGAAGGAAAATATATCCAGAGCAGGGTACATGATTCTGAGCCAGGCATGATGGCACATGCCTATAATCCCCACATGGAATCTGTAATGCAAGTAGATACAAGTCAATGCCAGGACTACACACTGAGTTCTACACAAGTGTGATGGCTAATCTTGGTTGTCAAATTGACATCTGGAATTAACTAAAACCCAACAGCTGAGCACACTTGCATGTACTGAATAGCTGCTGTGTTCATTAACTTTCTATCAGGTAGCAGACATTGCTGAACCAGTGGGACTAATGGGGCAGCCTATAAGGTAGCCTAATAAACACACACAAGCACGAACATGCATGTATATAATGAGTCTGTATCTCTGAAGAACCCTAACTAGTACAGACCGTGGTACCAGGAGTAGTTCTAGAGAAACAGAATTATAAGGATGATTTTTCTTTCTGTCTTTTGTTTGGTTGGTTTTTCAAATCGAGTTTTTCTGTGTAGCTCTGGCTGTCCTGGAACTCACTCTGTAAACCAGGCTGGCCTCAAACTCAGAGATCCACCTGCCTCTGCCTC